TACGGAGAGCTTGGCGACCGATGCTGGTCACTATTTCAGAGTAAAATTAAACTACATATATTTTGATAATTTTGGATTAAATTAAATATGTGCAAAAAAGATGTAGCTTTTTTATAATTGAATTTCTGGTGCTTTCTTCCTCAATTTTGTTTTATTTTTTCTTTGAACTAAATTGGATTGAATACTGTAAAATGGAATTGAAATATGTTAGTTTTGATATGGAGAATACACTATGCTAACATGCGCTTGTATCGTCGATGATGCTAAATTGAGCGTGCCACCGGTTTTGGAATAACTGTAAATCACATCAAGATGGAATAAAGCGCCTTTCTTTTAGATTTAGTACACCAAAATAAATAAATAAATAAAAAGGAAATAAAATGTTTTCTTTCTTTTCAATTATTATAAAAACTGTAATACAACAGTAAAAACATTTTCTCTAAAGAAAATGCATGATTCATAAAATATTCTTTTTCTAACAGAATTCAACATTTACCTTATGATATTTTTCTAGCGATCATAAATATAATTTTGAAACTATATTTTATTTATTAAATATTCAGAATAATCAATTCTAATTTAATAGTTTAATATATAATTGTTTGAACTCAAAAGTAAATGTCAAAACTTTAAGAAATTTAAAATTTTAAGAAAGAACAACATTTTTTAAAAAATGTACAATACCTTTTTTAACCCTGAAAACAACTGAACGAGTTCACTAGTTTTATTAGGTTTGAGAGGTAAAATTATTATTTTGCACTCTAATGGGATGTAGGGAGAGCATGAGTTTATGGGAATGGGAGGTGGAGTAAATGATCATTAAGAAGTGCTAGAAATCATGAAGACAAGCATAAGACAAAGATATTAGGAAATTAATAACTTTAACCCCCATCATACATTAAGATAATGAGAATTTGTAATTTTAATGATTATATTTTCTGAATTTTAAATTCTTTTAATTGATATATAAATTTAAAATTTTTGAATTCAACACTAATATTAAAATATTTAATTTATGTATAATACATAGATTAGTAAAAAATTATATAATCATCGTCGGAAACTATCAAAATTCTAAAAATATATAAAATAAAAAATAAATTTAAAATATAAAAACTAAATTTATAATTTATTATAAGTAGAAGAGTTTTATAAATAATAATCATATCCAAATATTTTATTTTATTGCTTTTTCATTTATATAATTCGTTGGGAGTATAACTTTTTTACAAGGGTAAGCAAACTTGATCAAAATTCGATTACTCAAACCAATTCACCTGATTCAATATTTGATATTAACTCGAGCATAATGATTGATTTGAAACTTGAATCATAGTTGACCTCAACTATATTTGATCCAAAATTTAGTTGACCAAATATGAATCCATATCCAATTTGATCTGAATCGAAAACAGTTTGAACCAAAATTAACTTAAACCGAAAAAATATTAACTAAATTTAACCAAAATTGAATTTAACTAAAACAAAAATTAATCCAAACCGAAAATCTATATATACTTTATTAGACTTATAATCGGATTAAACCCAAATGATCAAATTAACTAAAAAAACATATTTTTACAAGAACATATCACTAATTATATATATATATATATATATATATATATATACATATATTTGATTAGACACAACCAATTCAATTCGAATTGACATAATCTAAAGGTTGACCCAAATCAGAAATAAAAAATGGATATGATATTGAATCAATCCAAAAACCAACCGTTCTGATATTGACTCAACTCGAATTCTAATTGATCCGGTATTAATCCGACCCAAAAATAACCGATCTAATATTGATTCGAACCGAAAAATAACCGATTTGATAGTCAACGACCCGAAAATTGACTTGACCCACTACCCGACTCTACCCAATTTACCATACACTCGAACTAAATTCTAACCATACCCGATCTAACCCGAATAAAATTAAACTGAATATAATTTACACCCGAAATGAGCCGATCCGAAATGATCCGACCCAAACGTGATCCAACCGTTTGTCACCTCTACAAAACTAATATCATAATTATTGTGACTCAAATTTTAAAATTCTCAAATACTAAACTTTAAATTCTAATAATTATATAGCATGGAAAAAAAATTAAAATTTGAATTTATTACAAGAAAACTTTTGTCAGAATGTTATCTTTATTGCATATAATTAATAGTGTGGACGGGGGACCAAACTTTTATTTATATTTGCAAACATGAATTCATTATATTTATATCTTATTTGGAGCTTTTAATCATGATGCTGAGCAGTTGTGCTACTTATAATCATGAATTTTTCAGGTTTAAGAGATCATGCTTGTTTAAATCTTTTTCTTCTTCTTTTGGAACGAGTAAAGAATTGACAATTTGTTTTAGGCCAATTTTCTATTCCAAAATGTTACAACCTATGATTGTTGCACTACTCATGACAAATTAAATGTTGAAAGGAAAGAAAAAACATCGAAACCAGTTCTCTACAAGTTTCAATTGTTAGAAAACATACGTTATCACCTTGCCTTTATGTATTTCAAACATTGGTGGGAAATATCACTAAATACTGTAAAATCCTTCTTGGATTAAAACTCCATTGATTTTTCCTCACTCTAAGCAAATGACATACCTTTCTTTGCAACAACTTAGTCATAGACGCAATGATTATCAAAAAAGTTTTTGACAAAATTTCCATAATATCTATCTAAACCAAAGAAATGTCTAACTTATACAATTTTTCGGGTAATTTCCATTCAGTTATGGTTTAAATCTTTTTTAAATAGATCAAAATTATCTCAATAGAGACAATACAATCTAAAAAGTTATATCAGATAATCAAAACTTATATCTATTAAGTTTGTTTGTCTTTGAGGGTTTACATAATAGTTCGTAGACATTTATCATGATCATCCTTATTTTTGGAGTATATAAAAATGTCATCGATGAAGACAATTACGAATTAATTCAAGTATGGATAAAAGTTTAAATTTATCAAATCCATGAAAGCTCTGAGAGCATTAGTTAAATCGAATGTTATCACCAGAAATTCATAATATTCATATCATGTTTGAAAAGTAGCCTTTGAAACATCAAAATCTTTAACTTTCAAATGATAATATTCATATCTTAAGTCGATCTTTGAATATTGGGAAAATGTTATAAATGATAAACTTTGAGCCAAATTTTCTATGGGTAAAGGTGGAGATTCAAATGATGGGTTTATTGATTCATATTTTATTCCATAAGATATTTAAAGCGGTATCTCATATGCTCAAGGTGATGCTCTAAGTAAATTACTTGTAAATTATGTAAGAAAAATAAAAAAAAGATCATCTCACATTAATAGGATAATACACATGGGAAATATTTATATACATTAACCCATTCATCAATCATTGAACGACTTGAATTAAGATTGTGCATTATGCTTAATCCATTAGGGGTAAGGGTGCACTTGTATAACGAGTGGCATGAATGTTTAAATTGGAAGTCTTTTGAAATTTTATTACGAGAGATGTCATTGATAAATGCTCGGTCGAATGTATCATCGATCAAGTGATTTTTGTAACTAAATCTTCAAATCCTCTAATTTAGTAGGTTCCGTGGGATATGGAGCACCACATGAGAGAACTTCTATTGGGGAATTACAAGTAATTCTATCAAGTGGCACACTCTGTTCCAATGGACTTGTACCAACTACCTCTTGCTTGCTTGGTTTCACTCGTCTCTATAACCTTATCACCAGCCCCGTAGCTGAGTTTGGGCAGGAAGGGCATCTGCCCATGCCCCAAATTTTAGAAATTCACGTATAATTAAAAAGTAATAAATTATCTATTAAATCAATCCCCTATTTGCTGTCGGTAGATTGCATATACAATAATTAAGCAACATTTAACACTTGGGAAAATGGGACGTTGCAAGTGGAAGCAACCCTTTTAGCTTTGGGGCTGCTGACAAACGCTACTCTAAGAGATGGGTCCTTGATGTACGTACAAAATCATGGCTGCTGCTCCTTCAGCTTGCTGCAACAAGCGCTCCATGGCCTGCTCCTTTAGGTAAAAAATGTTTTATTTTGGTTCATCAAATATTTGTTCATCATTTGAGTTTTTAATTGTATACAAAATAGTTCTTAAAAGCACTTAGATGTAAGACGTGATTATTTAAACTTTTTATTTATTCAAGAACATAATAACGCTATAAGACATGGTATTTATACTTTTTATATGAAGTAAATAATTGTGACAAATTAACCTCCCAATATCAGCATGCCCTATTCTCTCTCTATATTAAAACTTCACATGAACGATTAAATATTGCAATAATACACTTTCGATCGAAAAGAGTTCTACAATTTCAACAATTCCTTTTTTATTTGAAAATAAGCCCTTAAGAGAAATATGAATTATAGCCCACCCAATTGTGCCCATGATAGTAGCAAAAAAATACAATTAAGTCAATTTTAATAAAACGAATCAAATGGTTTCAGTGGTAAAAGAATTATTGTTATTCCTTAGGATTTGGGTTCGAGCACCACAGATGTCAGAGATGTGAGCGTTCAATGTCGAAAGGTTGAGAGTTTTCTTTGAACATATAACGTTTTGTACTTGCCCGTAAGAAGAAGATCATTTTAATGACTTTTTAATTGATCCATTTTGACTAAGGGTGTTTAAAATTACTCAATATCTAATATATCTGATTCGTTGGCCCACCTATCCATATAAAAATAACATGATAAAGAGGAATGTTAATCTACCTAGAGTTTCCAAGTTCGAGCAGCTACATTAACAATGTGTGCGAATTGTCAATGACTAAGAAAAATTTTAAACATATATTATATTATAATCACATCATACTATTAAAAAAATTATTAACTCAACCTGCTGCACCATTATGTTTAAGCTTCTAGGAAACCTTTACTCTCAAATTAACATGAGAACTAAAACAGTACATGAAAGGAAAATTGGATTGGCATAAAACTAGTAAGCCATAAAAAATCTATTGATGGAAAAGATTTCACTATCAAAAGAATCATTTAAGTGTGTGCATATATAATCTGGTTCAGTACAATTCGTACTCGACATCTTCAAGAACAAAACATCAATTCTACTAGAAGGGGGAAAGAAAATAACCAAGGATAAAACCATCAAGCTTAGCTCTGGCAGTTAAACTAAAGAATGGTGTAAATTGCGGCGGAATATATCAAGCCAATATGAACAATCGCTAAAACTTGTATTCATATTACTTGATTATTGAAGAGATGCAACACAGTTGCTTACCTAGACTCCGAAATTGCACGTCTGCACAAACTCCATATCATTATCCACATATTTAGTCCAGAGGTTCTTGTATTGATTCATTGCAATATCTAGCCAAGGTTTCATGTTTCCATTATAATGAATGACTGCAGCATTGTTGATCACATCCATACTAATGCTTGGATTGAATCCAAGCCCGAGCACATGCCAGGATTTGTCCAGTGATTTTGTCAATGAGTAGAAGGTCATCAAGCCGGGCGGAAGAGTGCCCGATTTCCACAGAGTGTGATCAACGTTCTGAGCAGAAAACCAATTCAAAATTAGTTACATACCCACTTTCAAAACTTCAATCCATAACTCACACACCATTAGAAAAACTGATGTGTTGTATTTGAAATTTGGACAATCAATTGATTTCACTCCTAAAAGCTATATTTATTTGATCATCGTTTCTAAATTTCAATCAGAAATCCACGCTAATACTAATAAGACTAAGGGCTCGTAAAATTATTATTATTCCATCTTCTCCATTAAAATCATGAAATGATCGCTAACACCAAGCATCATGACAAGTAGCCAACAAATTATTACCTCTATTCGAATCAAAAACCAATAAGTTCACTCAAGAGAAAATAATGTACTAACCAAGTTCTGCCAGCTGTGATACATTTCCGTGCATTGCTCATGCCTCCAAGCATCGAGATCAAAAATATTCATCCCATAAGCCCAAGAACAAGCCTTAGGATTAAACCTATCCCTAATGAGAGGATTTGAAAAGTTCAAATACTGCGAGAAACGGTGAAACGACCCAAAGCAGGTCTCAACAGCCCCATTCACCTTTCCAGACAAATCTATCTTCCACAACCCTGTCAAGTCCTTCTGAACCACAACATCAGCGTCCAAGAACAAAATCTTATGCAATTTAGGGTACATTTCAGGCAAATAAAACCTAAGGTGATTCAACATTGACATATGCTCAAGATCCCTAAACCTCATGTTAGTCCCATCTTTGGTTGCATTCCCCATCTTCTGCTCCAGGTAAAATCTCTTCTTAGCAGACTCAATCTGCCTCAGCACCGGCACATAGGCAGAGTTCATAAATTTAAAATCTTCTAATGCTTTCACTTCCACATGAGCACCCCCTTCCACAGGTCTCATTCTGAACCAAACTTTCATCGCAGCCAAATTCATTCTATCAGTTACCACATGGAAAACATGCTTCCAAGGCTCCTCCGCATTCTTCACCACAGACCTCACCACCACAGAAACCGCAATCACATTATCAGAAAATATAGCATAATGATACAAATCAGGGTCCTCAAACTCGGGTTTAGGCAAAAAATCCTTGTACTTTTCTGGATGTGAAATTCTCTCCTCAACAAGCCTCATTGCCAAGCAATGCAAACTCTTAGGAACTGATTTAGCAGCAATTGAGCTCGCAAAAGCTCCATTCTTTTTTGCCTTACCTAATAACTCACTAACGGCAAAAATAGTATCTTTCAACTTCTGAATTTTCAACTGATTATCATAATTCTCTTTAGATTCAACCATCAACAACCTAGCCAATTTCACTCTATCCTTAACTTCTTTCTCAAGCTGTCTTAACACATCCTCATCTAAGTTATCATTGGTTTCAAACAAAGAGGATTTATACATTGGTTTTGACGTAATATCTGAGAAATTCTTAGCCAAATCATCAAACATTCTCAATTGCCTTGAAATGTCAAGCTTTAGCTTCCTTGCATAAGCTGCATATGCTTTCACCAATGTGATGTGATCATTGGCTTGCCTGTATATCAAATCTAACCTTGTTTTGAGAGGGTCCGAGTTCAATGCCACAAATGTTCTATGCATGTAAGCGTTTCCACCACTTTGAAGCCTCTGTTAACACAATGAAAATAGTTAGAACACCTAAAAGGGTATTTAAGAACCCAAAAAGATCGATATTTGAAGTAGTGCAAGCTCTTCCCTAAAGACTAGAAAACAAAATAACCATAATAAAGATTAGATTCTCAAGTATTAAACGCGCAGCTCCAAAAAAGAAACACCCATTTACAAAAAGCCAAAGTTTATCTAAAATGCCAAATAGATTTCGATATTGAAGCACTGAATTAGAGAAATGGATTCTAAAAAAGCGAAAAGCAAAACAAAAGACAATGAATTTAGAAGAAAAGAAAGGAGAACAAATTGAAAAAAAAAGAAGAATGACGAAGGTAAAATTTACAGAGTGGTGATGAGTTGTAGAAGGACGAGTAGCGAAGAGAACCGTGGCGGTTGCAATGAAGAGAAGCAAAAACATGGCCGAGACAAAGACTCTGTAAGAAACTAAACTGCGGAAACCAGCTCCAACACCGCCGGATCCGCCACCCCGACCTCCCCTGACAGCTACAGCCATCGAAATTCAGCTATGTACACTGCTTTGTTTCTGTCTATCGCTTAAACTAAATAGTGAAAAATAATGTTATTAATAACAATGAAACAACAAATTGGTTAAAGTTTAGGGTGTAGGGATTGTTCGTTGAGATAGTTAGATTTTGTCGGGCTGACTGAGATCGTCATAATCACGGGCCCTGGCCCGAACCGGATTATGATCACCATTTTTAAATGTTATTCGCCTAATTTTGAATGGATGTTTAAAAATAAATTAATTCAAATTAATTTTTATATATTTAATTTGATATTATTAAGATTGTGATACTTATACAAATATTGTGAATTCTATAACATGTCAATTGTATATGGAACTCATCAAGCTAATTATGTGCAATATGTAGTCGCAACGTAATCACTTATAACGTTGCCATTACTTGTGGCATTATAATAATTTATTGTATAATAATGTTTGAGTTTTTGGTTCAGTGTTTATAATCAGTGGCATAATTACATATCATTGAGGGTGGACATGTATTTACCTTGAAATTTTGATTTTTTTTAAATTGATTATTTGTTTTATTGATGATGTTCATTCTTAAATTTTATATATGTCTACCTTTAAAAATATTTTTTGATATATTATTATTTACAATAGTACAATATAAGTTTGATAGAGTCTGAAATACATCTCATACAACATGTCAATGAGTTTAATATAATTATAATACACACAATACATACCATAAATGATAAATAGCAAAAGTTTATTATAGTAAAATGTTTGAGTATTGGCTCACTTTTCACAAAATAATTAAACATAAACTCGAATTAGTTTAGATCATGTCTCCGGCATCGTTATATCAATGAATACAATATATTTATGAACCAAAATAATAAATACCATAATCGACAAATCGTAAAAGCCTACCACCTGATGATGTCTTGAGCACCATCAGGCACTAGCTTGACTAGGGGTACTGCCTCAACCACAACCGGACGCAAACCAGCATTTTTTTAATCTAAAAATCACCCCAAAAAATAAAATAATATAAAGTTAGCATTCTTTTACTAATATTTACAGGAGTAGCACCCTTTCTCCAATATATCAACGAAACGTGCCTTACGAGCTTTACTGATGTAAAGAGAATGCGTGTTGCAAGGGCGTATTTTTGTTATGCTGGCACCATGGTAGAAGCAGGGGACGTACCTTTAAAAGCGTGTTTTAGGACACATTTTACTACCATTTAGGGTTTGGGTCGAATGATTTATGATTTTTTGATTAAAGTGATTTAGGGTTAGAGTTTTATGTTAAATTGGTTTAGGTTTTTTTAAAAAAGTGGTTTAGTGTTTTTTGTATAAATGATTTATAGTTAGATTAAAATTAAAATATTGATTGTAAGAAATAAACCTTAAACTAAAAATAAATGTACACTGTGTCATTTTAATATTTTGTTATTTCATTAATAATTATTAATTATGAATAATCGATTTATTATAAATTAATAATAAATTAAGGGTAAACTATGTTAGTAATTTTTTTTATTTTCAGTCTAATTGATTTTAGTCATCAATTTATAGTTAAATGTGTTTGATCCTTTACATTATTAGTTCATCCTTCGTTATTATCCGTTAACCCATCAACATATATATTAGGTGATAATTTAAAAATAATAAATGAATCCACGTGAGTCACCTGTGATATTAAAATAAAAGTTTATTAAAAAAATTTTAAAATACTCACGTGTCTGTCTGTCTTCTTCTTCCAAACTCAAACACCAACAAGAAGAAAACCCAAATACATAGTTACATACGCAGAAGAAGAAAGCTCAAAATCTCAGAAAACAAAAAAATTATATGTTGCGGAAGACGGCTATCGGATAGAGCAAAATCGCAACTGATAATTTAAAAAAAATAAAAATGAAGATAAAAGAGACACAAAATTTACGTGGAAAACCCCTAAATAATATAGGGTAAAAACCACGGGCAACAATAGAAGAATTTCACTATGAGAAAATAGGAATTACAACTTATCTCGATCTACCAAGGAGAAAACAATGATAATTCTTTATTAATAAAAAGGAGAAAACAACTCTCAAGAAACTCTTTAAATTCTCTAGTGTTAGAAGAAAACTAGAATGCTTTGGGATAATTTTGAAGCTAAATGAACTATGATATTTATAGTTGAAGCTTAAGGACTAATCTTATAAATACCCTAAAGTTTAGAGATTAAACTTTATTAATTATCCATTGCATAATTCAACAAAAAAAATAACCAAATTAGACCAAAATAAATTAGCCGCCGGCTGCCATTGAATTATGCTGTCAACTTTGAATTTTGAATATTCAACACTATAGTGATCGAGTTAGTCAGCCATGGATGAGGAGTACGATGTGATAGTTCTAGGGACCGACCTCAAGGAATGCATTCTCAGTGGCATTCTCTCCGTTGATGGACTCAAAGTACATTCCTATCTTCGCTTTCTATCTTCTGTTAGATTCGAAAGAAAATCTGAGTTTTCCTTTTACGATTTAGTTCTTTTTTTTTGGCCAATGGCAGGTACTACATATGGATAAGAATGACTATTATGGAGGAGAGTCGACTTCTCTTAATCTTGTGCAAGTCACCATTGTTCTTTGATGAATGAAACGTTTTGTTTTTTACATTTTCCTTTGTTGTTTTCTGAATGTTGTCTTTCTTAATTTCTTTTTCTATAGCGTAGCTTTGGAAACATTTCAAGGGAGATGATAAACCTCCAGAAAAACTGGGATCAAGCAGAGATTATAACGTTGATATGATACCCAAGGTATGTATGTATGCATGTATTTATGTATGTCTATATGTAATGAAAATGCTTTCATTGACTGGTTTCACAGTTCATGATGGTCGTTGATGTCGAAGCACTGAAATCACCGTTGATGGGGCTGTTCGAGAAGCGCCGAGCCAGAAAGTTCTTCATTTATGTGCTGGACTATGATGGAAATTATCCAAAATCTCATGAAAAAATGATGGATTTAGGGGCGTTTGAAGGCCACTTGAGGTTGACGGAGAGGGGGAACTATTTCCGAGTTGAAACAAGTGAGGGTTAAGGCGTTGAGTTGATAAAAAATAAACGCTCAACATGAGAGAGCTTGAACCAGAAAACATAGGAGAAAGTGAGTGGAAGAGATAATTCGGCTGATGCTTTCGAAGAAGAAGATAAGGCAGGACTGAAAACGAAAGGATTAATTAAAAAATCGGTGACTAAAATTAGTCAGACTAAAAACAAAAAGGGATTATTGGCTAAAAATTAGCCGGGAAAAAATTGCGACATGCGGGTGTGAAGAACATGTCTTCCACTATTCAACAAAGAATGGAAATGAAGATTCTTTATAAATCCAACTAAGACCTTTTCCCGTCGATATGGGATAAATCCAATCTATATATTTCCAACATAAAATGATGTATGTCAAGTTTTGTTAGCATACTATTTTCTTATGATTTAAGGTGATTCCAGTATTTAATTTAATGTTTGAGAGTGATTTAGGTGATTGAGAAGAAAAAAAGAATTTAGATATCAAATTGAGAAAAAAATATAGGTACTTGAAGAGATAAATTATATATAAAATCATTTACTTTATAGAAATTTTTATTTTACTTTGATAAAAACTTAGAACATATACTTATCTATCACTTATATTCATTTTAAATTTTTTTTAAAGCAAATAAAAACAAATAGTTATATAAAATTTTAAATTATTAATTTAAAAATAAGATTATTCAAAAACAATTTCAAAAAGATAAACATAATCCAACCTATTTAAACATATGACTAAATCTACTATTTTAAGGAGAACTATGAGGGGAGGAATAAAGAGCTCAACCATTGGACAGGAAAGTGCTAACATGTCGTGCTTCATTGAAAAAAAAAAGATCCCAAAGCATTTTATTATTAGTACATTCTGATTTTAAACTCTCCTCGTTTAATTATACGTTACCATAGCTATTCATGCAACTTTTTGCCGTCGAATTGAGAGGATCAGATCAGATAAACACAATTCTTTTTTAATTTTGTGGTCGTATGGGACTCTCTAAATTCTTCTATCTCAAGGCTCATATATTTGATTGTTTATGTTTCTCTGCATGGTCAAATTTTGGCCCTTCTTTTCTGGGTTAGTCTACAAATATTCCTTTGATGGTTTTATTTGATTGAATTCAAGGATTTTGTCACAGGTTATGACCATTGTTAACGCACTTTATTAAAAGCTTTTTTGACGTTTTCAAGGTGGTTTAGATTTTTGCATAAAAAAGTCGAATCTTTGAGAGCACTTGGTGATTTAGATGATGGCAGTTTGGGATATAGCATCAATGAAAGAAAGGAACCCAAGGGGGACCGAATATGTTGCTGACGAGGAACATCCCTTGTTGCTTAAACAACAAGATGAAGATGGCGTTCATGGTGAATTTAATGGAGCTTCTTTGTCTGGAGCTGTGTTTAACTTGTCGACCACAATTGTGGGTGCAGGGATCATGGCATTGCCCGCCATGATGAAGGTCCTCGGCCTAATTCTCGGGGTAGGTCTTATCGTCTTTATGGCGTTCTTAACCGATGCCTCAATTGAGTTATTCTTGAGGTTTAGCAAGGCTGCGAAAACATCTTCTTATGGAGGTCTTATGGGGGATGCATTTGGAAAGTTTGGAAAGATCTTGTTGCAGGTCTCTGTTTTAGTCAACAACATTGGGGTTCTCATTGTGTTTATGATTATTATTGGTATGATTTCATTTCATTCAACTTCAAATTGCACAACATCTCATTGTTCTTTGATAAAATTCAGTCGTCTAATGAACTTGTTATGGTTTGTTGTTTTTTGGAGGTGATGTGCTCTCTGGAACATCGTCTAGTGGTGTTCATCATGCCGGTGTCCTCGAAGGTTGGTTCGGCCAACATTGGTGGAACGGCCGTACTTTTGTTCTTTTTTTCACAACGATTGGCATATTCTCTCCATTGGCATGCTTTAAGCGCATCGGTTAGTGGCATATAGCATCTGAATTCTAACATCATAACCTTTGACCAATAGAACCTCAATTGGATAGCTTTTGTTGCGTGTGACTAACTTTATGTTGTGTTTTTATATTGCAGATTCCTTAAGATTTTCGTCTGCACTATCAGTTGCTCTGGCTATTGTGTTTCTTGTCATCACCCTGGGAATAGCAATGTTCAAGTTGTTCAGTGGAACTATAATGATGCCGAAATTGCTACCCCATGTCATCGATTTGGCGTCTTTCTGGGAGTTCTTTACCGTTTTCCCTGTTTTAGTCACCGCATATCTCTGCCACTATAATGGTATACAAAGTCCATTCTGCTATTGAACACTTGATTTTAGTTTGCAGGATAATAATAATGGCTTACATTCTTGTGTGTTAAACAATCTGTAGTTCACAGTATAGCTAATGAACTCAAAGGATCAACTCAGATGGGACTAGTTGTTCGGGTATCTCTGTCTTCGTGCGCGGTCGTCTACACATTGATAAGCATTTTTGGGTTTCTTCTATTCGGAGAAGCAACATTGGACGATGTGCTCTCCAACTTCGATACCGACCTCGGCATTCCCTATAGTTCCCTGCTCAACGATGCTGTCCGTGTTAGTTATGCAGCTCACCTCATGCTCGTATTTCCGGTCATCTTCTATCCACTTCGACTCAACATCGACGGCCTCATGTTCCCTTCAGCTAGACCTTTAGCTCAGTCCAGCACAAGGTTTGCATCAGTTACTTCCGGACTCATCATACTGGTCTTCTTGGGTGCAAATTTCATACCCAGCATCTGGGTTGCCTTCCAATTCACTGGTGCAACCGCTGCAGTTTGCCTCGGATTCATATTTCCGGCCGCTGTAACGCTTAGGGATCGACATGTTATATCGACGAAGAAGGACAGGATCTTAGCTATTGTCATGATTGTGCTGGCTGTGTTCTCCAACCTGGTGGCCATATATAGTAATTGCATTGCCCTTTTTGAAGAATGATGAAGCAGAATGAGTGTTCTCTGGATTGCAAGAAACTGAGACTTACGTTTCATGTTTACTTGAAGATCACCGAGTGATGGAATCGTTCATTCGAGTTCAAAAAATATGGGTTTCGGTTTTGAAGGAGGTTTAATTAGATGAACTTGTCTTTTAAAAATTCAGATTTATTGGGATGTGAATGTAGTTTTGTACATCATCCCAATGTATGTCGTTATACTAGTGCTTCATACATGAATTTGAATAATGCTATTGAAAACGCTCTTCCAAATATTTTTTAGAGAGTAGATTATATTTTCTAAAAGTTTGTTTCTTTTTTTTTGAATTAATATCCGATCTATTGATCGACTAATCTAGATCGAGTACTGCAAAAACGAGAACGACCATCCCAACCCAGTTTGCTACATTCGCAAATTACCTAGTGTCTCATCCCACTAGATCAACTAGTTGGTAAAAATGTATTTTTGAAAACTATTGTAAATTATCTTTTTTTATTGTTTCTTAAATTTTATTGAAAATATTTTTCTAAATTATTGGGTGTAAATTTTTTTTTAAAAATTAATAATTATTTACAACAAAACATTTAGATGTTAGAAAATATTTTATCAATACTTATCCATATCACAAAATAAAGATTTAAGTTTAAGGTATGTTTCTTTTTTAATAGATTTCAAAAAATAATTTTCAGAAAATAATTTATGTAACTTGCTTAAAAAATAATTTTATGTTTATTTTTATATTATTTTTATTATTTTATTTTTAATCTCTTATTTTTCGATAAAACATACATAGATTCGTGTTCGAAATGTCAAAAGAGGTGAATTAAAAAATTTGAGATCCAATAATCGTCGACAATGATAGTCGATGGTGAACGATGTTTCCACGGTGACAAACGACGATAATGAGTAACAACCAACGACGTGAACTTTGATTAGATGTAGGGGTCAATGTGATATTTTATATCAAGTTTAGGCGTTAAATTAGCACTTTATGTAAAATTTAATGTCAAATTGATATTCTATCTAAAATTTAATCATTTTTACTAACGTAACACATCAATAAAATAACATAAGCTAATGATCCAGTCACCAAAATAAGAATGATCGAAAATAAAAGTGATTAAAATCAAACATTTTCAAAATTAGTGATCAAAATCAAACATACCAAAAATATAAGACAACACCCATTTTGTTCACCCAAAAATAATTATTTTAATAAAATTTAGGGTAAACTACATCAAATACCATTAAACTTGATCATTTATATCATGAAACTAATTTTATTAATTATAACACTGAAATTTAATTCTTGTTTTATTTATATCACCGAGTCATTAAATCGCTAATAGTCAAATCAAAACGATGTCGTTTTAGTGAGGCGTCTACGTTGAAAGCAGTCAACCACATCGATAGTCATCAACCACATCATTATGTCGTTAACGATTTAACGATTCAATGACAGAATTGAAATAAAAATCAAAGTTCATTGTTATAATTGACAAAACTGAAAGTTCAATGGTATAAATGATACACCGTCTAAAGTTTGGTGATATTTCGTGTAATTTACCCTAAAATTTATTTTCAAAGATATTAAGGTAAACTACACTAGATATCACTAAACTTTAGGCAATGTATAATATTATTAAACTTTCAATTTGCCAATTATAGCATTATTCTTTGATTTTCGTTTCAATTATACCACTAAGTCGTTAAATCGTTGATAGCCATATCAAAATGATATTGTTTTGTTGTGGTGTCTACATTCATCAGCCATGCCATCATGTCGTTAACGATTTAATAGTTCAATGGTATAATTGAAACGAAAATCAAAATTTAGTACTATAATTAGTAAAATTAAAAGTTTAGTGGTGTAAATGATATACAAAATTCGTTAACAAACTAAACCCGTTTAGCTGAATCAAATCTCATCACTGAAGAAACCAAACACAAAAATTAGTTGGGTGGCAGCCATGGCTGACAAAGAACCAGAGGCCCCAGACGAGCTTGCCGACTCACTCAACGATCTCTTCACCAGTCTCACCTCGATGGTCGAATCTGAACTCCAGGTTCCCGCAAACCACAAAAACTTTCATTTTCGCTCTGAAACTCCAATCGGTTGATTAAAACCCAGAAATTTTGCTGGATTTTTCAATCCTTTGAAGGTGACCCATACATATTTTTGTTTAGTGCAGGGTACAAACAACATTTTGGAGCTATTGGAGAAGATGAACGTGAGAGTGGCGGAAGAATACAAAGGATTTGGGGATGTGGCATCTGGGTTAAGGGTATTTGTTGAACGGCTCAAAAACAAGAGTGGCAACTTTGATGAATATGTTCAACAGATTGATGCAATTGAACAGCAAGTCACTGAGTTTGAAGCTGTAGTTTCTGTTCTTGATCGATATGTGTCTTTGTTGGAATCTAAAGTACAATCTCTTTCCCAACATCCACCTCCATAACTAGATTTTTTTTTTTTGCTTTGGTTTTGAAGGATAAAATAAAATGAATTGTTGGTTGAATGTAAAATGTCTGCTTTTCTCGTCTTCTGGTCTTTTATTTATCTGTTTTATGATATTGTGTGGAGAATTTTCGAGTTCTAATACTTCAAATTTAGGCCAAAAGTTGAACTCCTTTTCCATGTTATAAATACTCTAGTATTAATTCTGCTTTGATATTTAGTGAGATTTGAAAGCATCATGAATTCTTATATTGTTTTCTCTGTTTCATACTTTGATTGAAAACTTAATTTTCAACTATCTTCATGGGGATGCATACGTTATAAGTTGGCTTCTTCTCTCCTGTTCTCAGTACTCTACAATACATTGTTTAGAAGATGGTTTAAACGATTCTAAGTTCAAGAAGAAAGATGAAGATGGCCGTCCTTCGGTGCTTGGTAGCTGCCACGGAAGAAGAGAGGTTGATGAAGATTGACAATGGCGGTAAGCCAGTAACAACTCCTTGTTTAGGGTCTGTAGCTCGGAGGTTGATTTGAGTGATTGAAGAATTCAAATCTCCTGAAAAGCTGGAACAAGGACCAGTTTTGGAGTATTGACTTGAGTGTTGCCATGTTTGTTGGAGCATAAATTCACTGACCTTGAAGATCTGGGTTTGGTCCTGTGGTGATAGGATTAAACGACTCTGAAAATGTCTATCAAAACGATCTGGTTTTTAATGACAAGGTGATTTTTTTATGTTGATCGTTCTTTTTCTTTATAATGGTGCTCTCTTGATGAGAATTGGAAATGGAGATCATGGATGGCTCTTCAATTTATATTGATATAATGTTGAAACCAGAAATGATGAGGCATGTCATGTTCTTCACAAATCCTATTGCTTTGCTGATGCTCTGGCGATAGTAGGGGGTCAATTGGCTTGGTGGTCTGATGCTATATATTTGGATGAGCGGATAAATTAATCGTACGAAAGACTGTATAATACTAATTAGAAGGAGCATCATGAATCGAGTCGAACTCGAGTTTCTTGTAGAGGAAGACAAAAACATGTTGAGACGAGACCGTGGAGAGAGTATAAATGCATTGGTGATTGATCCATATTCGGAACCCAGGGATATGGGATATGGGATATGGGATATGGGATATGAGACGAGACCCTGCTGACTTTGTGTATGTGTTGCAAGTGAGTGGAAATCAGAGGTAGCTGATGTGATTCACTTGTGCTCATTGTACTCTCCTAAATGTTCATCAACATCTCGTTGCGGAAGGATCCTTTAAACGGTCATTGTGTATTCCAGATGCCTGTCGAACAAGCCGAACGCAGCCCTTCTGGCCATGCTATCGCTTCAGCTTGGAATGAATTGAGAGAAGCTGGCCAATGCTTAGCCGCTGCAAAATTAACCTCACCAGTCTGGTTTGGAAGAACAAATTCCGGCTGCTAGTATTTGACTGAATACCCTTTGCACTGTCAAAAATTAGCTGAAAATAATTTACTCATAGCTAGATGATCCTCACTAGAAAGAATGAATCGCTAACTGTCTATGCAACTCAAATTGTTTTCATTAGGGTTGTAAACGAGCCGAGTTAAATTTGATTGTTGTTAAACTTGACTCGACTGAAAAACTTTGAAAGTAAGTTCAACTTGACTCAAAAGTTCGTAAGCTTAAGATTATCAAATTCGAAATAAAAAAACTGAAGCTCAACTTGATTTAAAAGCTCCCGAGCTTAAAATTTTCAAGCTCCACTTGAAATTAAAATTTGAACTCGAATCTTAAATACATGAAATTGTTATATTGTATTTTTAAAAAAAATAATATTTAATGTTAATATTAATAATAATTTAATTTTAAATTTTTAATATATATATTTTAGTAGCTCAGTTTTTTGAGTCGAGTATCAAGTAGTTTGTTTCGGCTTGTTAAAATTTCATGTCAAATTCAATCTCAAGTTAAATCTATTTGATTCGAGTTTTAACCAAAATCAAATTTTGACCGAATCAATATCAAATAACTAGCTATTTATATTATCTCATTATAGCTTTAATTCTGTTAAGGTGTGTAAAATTGTCTCCGTAAAAAAAGATGTACGAAACATATGATTACTGTTTCACATCACGAAAAATATAGCATTGTGTACAATTATGATGATAAGTTGAAATAATAAAATATTATCTAAACACACACTTTTACAAAATTATCCATGTTACAGAAAAAATAGATATAATGATATTTCAGAAAATGAAAATTCAAACAAAAAAATTGACCATCTGTGAAAAAGGTTAAGCTGACAAAAATGTGATCATCCTAGCAGTTTAAAAGTCAAAAACTTTATTTTAGTCCAGAAATAAAGTATTTTTTAGTTTTTTTTAATTTAATAATTTTTTAACTTGATTTTTTATCTTTTCTTTATAATTTCAAGTTTCACATAATTAAAGGGATTGAAATAAAAAATTAATTAGTATATGTCAGAATAAAATTCAAAACTAAGGGAAAGAAAATTACTAAATTTCTAGAACTAAAAATTATTTAGGGTAAATTACACATTAATATCTAAATTATTACTTTTGTTCTATTTTGGTAACTAAATTTTATTTTTTCAAAATCATGTATAATATTTAATTTAAGTTTCATTTTGGAACCCTTCCGTTAAAAACTTAATAGTTATGTAATGTCATATCAGTATTAAAATGAATAAAAATGCCACATCATATGTTTTGTTAATTTTTTAACGACGGATACCAAATAAAACTCAAAATAATTATTAAATATGGATCTGAGAAAAAAAATCTAGGTACCAAAAAAGAACAAAATTAAGTTCAAATACTAAACGTATAGTTTACTCTAGTTATTTAACCCCTTTATTTTAAAAGTCCGCATTTAGACCCATTGAAAAGTAGGTCAAAAGTTTCCTGTCAACCATTTGAAAAGTAAAAAAAGGAACACTCATAGTTGCAAACTTGATGTTAATATCTTGCGCAACACTCATATCGAAGCCGTATATATATTTTACAATTTCAAGTCATTACAACATAAACAAAAAATCAAACCCAAAAACAATGGAAGAATCGACAATTCTTTACTTATTTCTTTCATTTATATCTGTCATCATTAGTTTGAACTACTTGTTTCAATGGAGAAAACATCCAATAAAGCTTCCCCCATGCCCACCTTCACTCCCCATAATCGGCCACCTTCACCTCCTAAAACCTCCCATCCACCGTTTGCACCATAGTTTTTCACAAAAATACGGTCCCATCTTCTCCCTCAAGCTCGGTTCCCGCCTCATGGTCGTGCTGTCGTCTTCGGCTGCAGCCGAAGAATGCTTGGTGAAGAACGATGTCGTTTTCGCAAACCGACCCAAGTTCATCATCGCCAAGCACTTGGGATACAATTACACCACGGTTGTCTCATCGTCTTACGGTGATCATTGGCGCAACTTACGTCGTATCGGTGCCACCGAGATATTCTCGCCGGCTCGCCTAAACACCACTGTAAATGCACGTAAAGACGAAATGAGGCGCTTGTTGGCAAGACTATCGAATGCATCGCGTGGGGAGTTTGCCAAAGTGGAGCTGAAATCCATGCTTTCCGACTTGACGTTTAACAACGTGATGAGGACGGTGGCGGGAAAACGGTATTACGGAGATGAAGTGGCGGACGAAGAGGAAGCGAGGGAGTTTAGGGAGCTTATGGTGGAGGTAGCGAAGAGGAGTGGAACGGGGAATCCAGCAGATTACTTACCGGTTCTGAATTGGTTCGGTTTAGGGTTCGAGAGGGAGCTGAAAAAGCTTGCACAAAGAATGGATGGGTTCTTGCAGAAGTTGATTGACGACCATCGAAGCAAGAAGCTGCAAAATAACAGTATGATTCATCATCTTCTTTCCATGCAACAGTCTGATCCTCTTTACTACACTGATGAAATTATCAAAGGCTTCATAATGGTTAGTTTCAGTCCTTTCTCATATAAGAAAGTTGGTCCCTTTCGTAAAACTGGGTTAACAAATTAACATTGTTGTGTGCAGGTGATCATAATGGCAGGAACTGATACATCATCAGTGACAATAGAGTGGGCAATGGCCAATCTGCTAAACCACCCACAAGTATTGAAGAAAGCCAGAGATGAAATAGACAGTTTAATTGGTGAAGAAAACTTGATTGAGGAATCAGATGTTCCCAAACTTCATTACCTTCAAAGTATCATGTATGAGACACTCAGGTTATACCCTGCAGCTCCTCTTCTCATCCCACACATGCCATCTGCTGATTGCACCATAGGCGGATACGACGTGCCGAGTGGCGCAGTCGTGTTGGTGAACGCGTGGGCCATTCATCGGGACCCGAAAGTATGGGATGATCCGGAAAGCTTCAAGCCGGAGAGATTTGATGGTAATGGTGAGAAAATAGAGCATTCTCACAAGCTGTTGCCGTTTGGGTTGGGCAGGAGGGCATGCCCAGGGGCAAATCTAGCTCAAAGAATGGTGGGATTGGCTTTAGGATCATTGATTCAATGCTTTGAATGGGAAAGGATTGATGGGAAGGAAATTGATATGATTGAAGGTAAAGGAAGCATCATGCCTAAAGCTCACCCATTGCAAGCTTTGTGTAAACCTCGTCCCATAGTGAATAAGGTTTCTTATTAGGATGTTTTGATTCAATTTGTTTAAATGTTTGTCATATTTGGTTGAATATAGTGCAAAAATAGGTTTTAGTTATCTAGTATAGCTACTATTCTATTATTCTAGGTTAACATAAGGGTATTTCCTCTGGTCTGTACCCGATATCAATAAACTAAGAAATATTCTAAATAAATACTACTTTGTAATTAAATGTAATTGAATATCAGATCCACTGCCATTAGCTTTAGATAGTTTCACAGTTCATGCCAATGAAACAAAAGATGAGCATCACTTTTCTTTTCCTTCTTTTGCCTCCAAAAGTCACATTTGGCACGATCAGATTGTCAAATTTTCTGTTCACTTTGAGGCTACAACTATGCATGATGATTTCGAAACAAATTCAGTTGGAAGATAATACTACGAACACCCGGAGCATTTGAAAGAGTTCTTTTTTTTTTGGGGGGGGGGGGAATGGATTAGTACCAAGTATGGTGGTCATAAATTTACACACTTCATGCCATAAACATGTTTAAGAATTTAGAGTTCAGTGTATGTAATATCACTAAGACATCCTCAACAGAAATGTGGAAATGGTTTTGGAAACAGACATTAAATTTCACAAGTAGAAGAACAGGAAAGTAACAAATAACAACCTGGAGATATCCTTAATAAAATTGTGGACTATGATTTTTGGTAACTCAAAAGATGAGAGGCATATACTGATCAGTTTCTGCAAGAAGCAAGATGAATTTTTTAAACAGTTTGAAATTCATTTCTTGAAGCTGAGAAAACTGATGTTGCAGGATGAAGTAAACACAACTGAATTGATTTTGTTCCTAAACACAAGAATGTGTTGCTGTCTTGCTGAAAATGTCATTCAACACCATTTTAATACTTCAAACTGAAGCTCGAGTTTTTTCTTAACCAAGGAAGAATAAAACAGGAAAAAACAAACCTAAAATAATTAAGATATCACCTAATTGCTGGCATTGAGGTTTCTAAGTTATTAAATTATCAATTAGTCTTTCTTATATACAAGTACTAAGACTGACAAAGTACTCTGCAAGCACCATTAAATATTAGTTTCTAGGAACCTTGGGTTATTAAGATAATATGAATTACCAGCCAAGAGACAAGTATTGTGATTTTCTCCTCAGTTCCGTCAATTCCTCTCCCTTTTTGGTTCCCTAAATTTCTATAGTTCTGGTCTCCCCCTTAAATTTTCCATCAATTCTCTACTTCCCCTGATCCCCTCCAATTTTATGCAGCACTTGTTCATACTAATCACTCTTATCTGTGCTGCTTCAAAATTCTAACAACTAAAACGTTCTGGAATGAACATCACACATTCTTATTTCTAACATGACATTTTAGTAGGGAGATTTTTTTTTCCTAGTCGAGGTGCAAGGTTATAGAGGTTGCAAAGTGTGATATCCAAGACTAGGAGTGCAAATTCTGTACAGCCAACAATATTCAGCAAGCCTATTATACTCTAAATTCCATGTCATTGAGATTTTAAACCCGTTCAACAAGTACAGAAGTTCTAAGGAGCTTCAGTTTGTTTTCAAATTTGATAACATAGAACCACAAGCTTAATGTCTATTTTGCTTTGGGTATCAGTATCGAATCAAATGCTCCGTAACCAGCGACACCAAGTTTATGTAGGTAAGAATCTACATCTACTCAGAGCATTCTAGTGTATCTCCACCATAAAACATTTCCAATAATCCAAGTTAAACTTTTAGATATCACTATCAAACAATCAATTCATCCCATCTAATATTAGTAAGTCATTCCCAGATTGCTCGTGATAATAACTATTGAACTCAAGGAAATTTCATTAACATTTGAAGTTCACAAGTATACCATTTAAAAATATCAGATATTTATCAAGAAAAATGTCCAATATGAAAGAACATAGAAAACATAAACTGTAGACCAACCTGAGAACTTATCAACAAAAGGGCCGGAATATACAAACTTGATCATCTCAACTGATGAACAATATTCCACCAGTTTTAGAATAAATACTCGTCGCCTATTCAGAAAATCCTCTATAACCAACCTCAGGCGACTCCCCAACGTATCAAACTCCGAGACCCTTTGCTCCTTCCACTTCTTCTCCATCGTATCGAAGCAAATCACACCCTGCTTCACAAAGATCATCCGAACCTCATTGAAACACTAATTAAACGCATTCATCACGCTTTTTCCCAAGACCCCATCAATTGCCTCGCCATCAAACTCATTAGTAGACCATTGCTTCTCGACAATATTATGAATAAAATGCAAAATTGTTGGGCTACCCGATTGAATCATTGACCCATTCGTCATATTAATCGTATTCAAACTATCCAATTCAACCACAACGCGTCTAAAACTCAAATTTCAAGCAAAAGAATATAAATGCCCTAACGTTCGACTTCAAAGGCCGAGCAAACTCCAATGAACTTTAAGAATCCAACATGTCATTGTTCAGTATGATCACGAAAAATATATCCGCAAGTAGTTCTACCATCCATCATGTTCTGGGCAACGTCTGTATTTGATTTAATCTAATCCACGTCGGGAGGATTCCACCGATCCGATCCATGGCTAGGATTATTACCGCTGCTTCCATTTGCAACATCTCTGTTTAAAGCTTGCTGCATAATTCGAAGGAGATGAATACTGCGTTCTGAAAGAGAGTCATTCTGCGCTACTTCATCGTCAAAGATGATGTTATTCCAAGCTCGCTATAAATTCCATATAATAGCTCCTAATAAAAGATCCCAATCCTATTGATTCTATCCAAATTCCGAACCAAGCTTGATATTCACTCCAATCCAGTCCCGAAAGTCCATATTTAAGAATTTCGAGAGCTTGCCATCCTTAACAAGAACAGTCCAAATAGCAAGAGATGGTGTGCAAAACTGTAAAAAAGTGGTCTTCGATAAAACGTTATTGACAAAGTACATTTTTATCCACAAGGCTAAAATAGATGTTATTTATCAAAATATTTTTATTCTCTTAGTTAATTATAAAAAAACTTTAGGGCAAATTATGCATTTAGTGTCTAAACTATTGGTTTTAATTCATTTTAGTACCTAAACTTTTAATGCTTTCAAAATTATACCTAAAGTTTAGTTTTTGTTTCATTTTAGTACTCCGTTCAAAATTGAACGTTAAGTTTTGAAAAAAAAATAACGTTTAGGTACTAAAACTGATCAAAACTGATAGTTTAGTTACTAAATGTGTTACTTTATTTTACAATGGATGCTAAAATAAAATAAAAACTAAATATTAGGTATGGTTTTGAAAAAAAATAAAAGTATATGTACTAAAATGGAACAAAACTGATAGTTTAAATACTAAATGGGTAGTTTACCCAATAATTTATTTATCTAAATTGACCTTTTTGACATGTCTAACTGGTCAATATTGCATCACGTTTGTTTTCAATTTGCATTCTTTTAGCGTGTGAAAAGATTCAGCCGTCGCGAAGTGGAGTATCACAGTCCATCTCAATTCACCAAGCCGCCAGGTCAATGTTGATGTCCACCAATCAACTCCTCCTAATCACGATTTTTTACTTTGTTATCCCTAAATACATACGCTGGCTTTTATCAACGAATTTCTAAACTTTTACGTGGATCGGATTTATAAAATTTAAGAAATATAAAATTATTTAAAATATAAAATAATTTAATTAAGATGATGATTATTCTTAATCACCCCATTTCGCTTTATCTCTAATTATCTCTCTCAATAAACATTAAAGTAGTTAACAACTTTTATCTACAATCAGTTAATCTAGTGTGACGAGACACTAGATTTTTTAAGTAAGATAAAATATTTGAATCTTAATATTTACTTTCCTAAATTCATACGCGAACTATCGTTAGGGAATATAAATTTTTAAATTTTCACATGAACCGGATTTATAAAATTTAAGAAATAAAAATAAATTCTTAATAAAAATATAAAATAATTTAAAAATTTTAGGTTTAGGGTTATTCTTAATCACCTCATTTCGTTAGATCCCTAATTACCCCTCTCAATAAGTTTAAAGTAGTTAATAATTTTTACCAACAATCAATCAGTTTAGTATGATGAGATATTAGATTCTTTAAGGAATGTTAAAGTTTTGAATCATTATGTTTTTGTATGAAGCAAACTGAGTTGGGAGAGTCACCCCATAATGAGGTCTCTACATGATTCAATCTAAATTAATCGGCCAATAGATCGGATAATATTGATTAATTAAGGGGGAAAAGTATGTTTACAGTTTTTTTATCCAAATGTGGTGGAAATTGAATAAACTAATAAAGAAATTTAAAAAGTAAATTTAAATTCAAATCATATAAATAATAATAACTAAAAGGAGAGTACATAAAAATATTTTGAAATATAAAATAAAGACCTAATTATCACTGTTGTAATATTTATTTATATTTATTTATGTTTATATTATTATAATAAAATTTGTATTTCAAAATTTCTTATTTTTTATCTTTATTGCAAAAAATCCAAATTTATTTTGAAGCAGTTTGATCAAAATAATTTCACAAAAAATATAAAATTAAATAAATATATCAATAAAAATATTTATGCCTTTGATATTTTCTAAAATTTAAAATTAGTATTTATTTAGTAATAAGTTAAAAATAATAGTATTATAAAATGTGTTTCTATATAGATAAATTAGTTTAAATGTTGTTACATTTTTTTAATTTTTAATTAATTCAAAATTCAAAATTACTATTTATTAATATTATAAATAAAATAAAAACAAAATATAACATTATTAATCATATTGCAATAGAAAATAAATCAATTTTAAATAACTTATCAAAACAAGCATAAAAAATGTATAAATAAGTTGATTCATAAATCCTTCCATTCACATTATGTAGTTGACTTGATTGAAACCCCTCCACTCTCTCCCTATAAAAAAGCAAACATATTATATTTCAATTTGATTAATTTAATAACTCAATCTTTGTGAGTTCCACATAATCGTTTACCGTCTAATCCAGGGTTATTATTATATCTAGAGTAAACTATATATTTAGTTATTTAAGTATCACTCTAGTTTCGTTTTGCTTAACTGATTTTTTTAGAATCGTCGTTTATATTACGTTTTGGTTTTATTTTGGTTATTTGTTGTTAAAAAGTTAATAGTGATACTGACATGTTATCATAATAAACACTACATCATTGAAAAAATAAAAAAAATTATTACGTCAGTAATTTTTTTTACGACAGATGATTAAAACGTAATGTTAGTGGTAATTTTGAAAAAAATAGTTGAGTGACCGGAACCAAAGTAATAGTGTTGTGACTAAATATACAGTTTACCCTTGCATTCATTCATTGAAGAAAATTTCAACGTTGTGTTTCGCATGGGTCCGAAAAAGGTCCATTTCTTTTTTTGCAAGTTGTTTTTGATCAAATCAGTATATGAATACGATGTAAATAATAGTCATGTATAATCGACGCGTGATTATTATACGCCATTTTTTTCCCAAATAGTAATTCCTCAGTTAGAGTCCAAAATATATTTAGTATGGGTTTGTTTTCACTGTTTTATCTCTTCAAATTTCTTATGTTTACGCCGCGTAGACATTAGGCTTTGCAGACCGTTTGTTTTTTAGAAGGGAGAAGCTCTTCTAAATTTGCGCGAGCTCTTCTTAGTACATACATGGTTTTATGTCTTCAAATGTCTTCAAACCTCTTTAAGAATAATTATAAAATATGGTTATTTATTAAAATAATTTTAAATAATTTAATAAGGTTATTTATTTTAAAATAAAATATTTTAAAATAAATTATTATAAAATATGGATTGATTTATTTTAAAATAATTTATTTTAAATAATTTATTAGTATGGATTGATTTATTTTAAAATATTGATTGATTTATTTTAAATAATTTATTAGTACAGATTAATTTATTTTAAAATATGGACTGATTTATTATTGTAGTTGTATGGATTAATTTATTTTAAATAATTTATTAGTATGAATTGATTTATTTTAAAATATGGATTGATTTATTATTGTAGTTGTATAGATTGATTTATTTTAAAATAATTTATTTTAAATAATTTATTAGTATGGATTGATTTGTTTTAAAATATAGATTGATTTATTTTAAATAATTTATTAGTATGGATTGATTTATTTTAAAATATGTATTGATTTATTTTAAATAATTTATTAGTATGGATTGATTTATTTTAAAATATTGATTGATTTATTTTAAATAATTTATTAGTATAGATTGATTTATTTTAAAATATGAATTGATTTATTATTGTAGTTGTATGGATTGATTTATTTTAAATAATTTATTATTGTAGTTGTATGGATTATTTAAATTTCAGTATTGTAAAATTAAAATTATTTAAATCTCAGTATTGTAAAACTCTTTTAAATTTAAAAAATCAATTTATTTATATTTCAATTCATTTTAACAGTCTGCAGACGTTAAAAAATAAACAATCTTATTCTTGCAGACTGTAAACTTTTGATCTACCTCTTCTACTGCAGATGTCTACAAATGTAATCCGCAAACTGTCGACCCTTTATTTCTGCAAAAACAAACAACACCTTCTAACATACTAACACGCCTTTTGATTAAGCTTTTCTGGGTTTTTTATTCAAAGATAAATACCAAGCTTCTTAGTCATCAGCAGCAGCCAAAGGTTTCTTCTTTTTTCCCTGAAAACAAAGGATTGGAATCAGAGCTAGACATGGAGAATTTGATGGGATTGTTGAGAATTCATGTGCGAAGAGGGGTGAATCTTGCCATCAGAGATGTTGTAAGCAGTGATCCCTATGTAGTTGTCAGGATGGGGCATCAGGTAATTTTGTAGCATTTTAGATTCTGGGTTTTGTCTCTAAGAATAGTTCCTGGTTGAACCACAAAATAAGGGTTTTGATTTTCTGCTCAAAAGACAACTTTTCTCATTAAACGAACATTATGTGTGCAGAAATTGAAAACTCGGGTGATTAAGAAGGATGTCAATCCAGAGTGGAACGACGACTTGACTCTCTCCGTTGCAGATCCTACTCTTCCAGTTAAGCTTGTAAGTATTTTCCAGCCTCCGCTGATTCACAATTTCCTTTTCCCCTTTTCTGATGATATTCATATTATTATTTGTGGCAGACTGTATACGATAGAGACACGTTCAGTTTAGACGATAAAATGGGGGATGCAGAGTTCGAAATCGGGCCATTTGTAAACGCAGTAAAGATGCGTCTGCAAGGCCTTCCCAACGGAACCATAATCACCAAAGTTCAGCCGAGCAGGCAAAACTGTCTGTCGGAAGAGAGCTGCATCATTTGGAGCAATGGGAAAGTTGTTCAAGACATGTTCTTGAGGCTCAGAAACGTGGAGACTGGTGAAGTTGAGCTTCAGCTGGAATGGATTGATGTTCCTGGTTCTAGAGGACTTTAACTACTTCCATTATTTCTAAAATATGGGAGTTCCAAATGCATTCACACGAGTATATTCCAGTAATATAGCTTAGATTAAGTGATTTATGTCGTTATAGTTGTTGGGTAGTCTAATTAAGACAGAATGCATATATAGTAGATTTTGAGTGTCATAAGCTGGGACCAATCAGCAGTTACTTCTTTGTTCATACATGCCAAGGAAATAGATTATGTATTAATATTTTAAATTCTAAACATCTTTCAATAAGTGACTTAAGTGATAAAATAGATTTTTTTTTCTATGATGTCCGAATGTATTATGAAAAATTTAAATAAACGTTATCCTATCATCATCGCAAACTATATAAAGCAACAATGAATCTGGTATTCGTTCCTAATTATATCCTTCCAACCACAAATGTAAAACTGATGTTGGCGAGAGGTCTTCTTAACAATCAATACTGTTATATCAAATTTCGATCCTGATATTTCTACTATCTAACGAGAAACAAATTACTTATAAAAGACTTCTTTGAAAAGATTCTTAAAAAAAAATACACAAAGTTACTCCTGACAGAATTATATACAGGAGATGACATATCACTCATCAACATATTTTTAATGTATTCACGTTCACAATGAAACAACTAACATATAAATAGCTATAAAAAGACATTCCAATTACACCAACAAAATGTTAGATCAGCTTTAGCTACCGGTTTTTTCTTCTTCGTTTGGGACCGGTTTTAGCTATGGTTTATGATGAAATGTCTAAGAAAAGGAATGAATACGATGAAGAGAAAAATAATCCAAATCCAGAAAACAACTCAAATTACCATGCAATTGCTTTTTGATTTCCCTTAATTATTGATAGATTCAATCCTGCAAAGGATCCACCATTATCTTTTTCTTTTTTAATGACAAGAATATGTTGGTAGTTAAACCGTTACTCTTTTTGTTCATTTAAATACATATATTTGATTTATTGATCGATTCGTTCAACTTAATATTGTAAAGATTTATTACGAGAAGGACACTTTCAATCCAGATTGTTCTGTACACAATATCTAGATTTCAATATTTGATCTTATTTAAGGAATCTAATATTTCGCCATATTTATTAATTTATTGTTGATGTTAATTTACTTGAATTTTTTGGTTGTGAATTGAAAGCTCTTTGTAATATATTGGCCACAAGTTGATTTCATGTGAGCTTAATAGGGCTGGCTTATCTAATGACTAATCCAACCAAACTAACGATTGTTTATCATTCACATCAACAACTGATACGAGCTAACTACCAAAGTGATTCAAATCCGAATATTTAGAAAACCCAAAACTTAGTTGATAGAATCCACGCACTAACTCACAAGATATCTTTACAAAATGCCAAGTGTTTGTACAACTCCTCGGTTCATAATTCATATAATTATACTTAAAAGGTGACATTCAGTAGACCTGAAATTCGAATTCTAACACCAATAAATAGAGTTGGACAAACACATTCAAAATGGAAATCAGTAGTTTTTGATGAGTAGAGAGGGCATGAATTATGGTATGCACATGCACCCAGCTTTCATCAGACCCCTCCTTTTCCTATTTACACTTCTTTTTCATGTTCCAGTGCCTAAAACTTTATGGTCAAGCAAGCAAAGGGTGGGGGTGAAAAATCCGGTAGATAAAAAAAAACGATGGACAAACTTTCATCGACAATAGAGTTGATCATCGTCTTCAAACTCGGAAACACCTATCATTGCCAAGGCTAAGTGACTCTTCATCTCACTTTTCGAATGTTGCAATTGAGAATAACAATCAACAATCCCAGAGAAATTGGACTTCTTCCTAAACGAATAAAACGGTTCTTCTTCACCTCTCAATATCGAGATAATTTCGTCGATGCTTGGTCTTCGTGATTCTTCAGTGCTTATGCAGGCTGCTGCAGCTTGAATTGTTCGCGCTATTTGAGTCAAATTTTTCAACGTACATTTGAGTCTAGGGTCAAGTAATTCTTCAACAGCTGCCATTCCTCTGTGCAAGAGAGGTTTTGCCTGAAAATGGAAAAAAGCTTCAAGATTATGATTTCAATTTCACAGCTAAAAAACAAACATTATCATGAAAATGTATGTGCTAAGTTGTGTTGCAATGACCGAACCACGTCAGCTAACTACGAAGGAGCTCACAAGAGTATCATGATTAGTTCCAAAGCATTGAATCATTAAAGCACAAAATTTCCACAAATTCCAAGGAGGAGGATAAGAAAAAGTAAGTTCCTTGATGGAGCTGTCTCACCTAGAGTACTTGTTTAAACTTAAGATGTAATGGCTATAGAGCAAGTAGTCATTTAGGGTCTATGGACCACTATCGGAAGAAATTTCACTATCAAATGGTCATCATCCATAACAAGTAAAGTATTTTCATCGCTCTCAGTTCGAATGTAAAGATCGAACCCCTCTTTTGCCTCCGGGGAAGCTGTTAAGGTGAACCATTCTTTCAACTTTCACAAACTTGGTGCAAAAATTAAACAATAACCTACCCACAGGACCAAGTTCTCTTCTCCTGGAGGCCGTCTTGCCTCGATTGGTTTCCGTCCGGTTATCAACTCCAACAAGACTACCCCAAAAGCATAAACATCGGTTTTATCAGACACTTTCCCATGTTGGAAATACTCGGGTGCCAAGTACCTACATACCCAAAATATGTGGAAAAAAAATCTTTACCGAATATTTTGTGAAGCAAAATAAAACGAAAAAGTATCCTTCAGCTTCTATAGGAAACTGTTGTTAACAGCATACCCAAATGTTCCTTTAACAGTTTTGCAAAGGAATGGAATTGAAGGTGCGGATGTCCAAGTTGCTAATCCAAAATCACACAACTGCAACCATTACAATTGCAGATATCATATAATCAAATTGTAAAACGATGACTTCGATCCATTTTCAACTCAAGAATTAAGGTCCAAGATCCTTACCTTTGGGATTTTCTTGGAAGAAAGAAGAATGTTGGAGGGCTTGATGTCTCTATGAACAACACATCTTTCGGTTCCGTTGTGTAGATATGCAACGGCCTCTGCAATTCCTACGGCAACCTTATACCTAACAGACCATGGAAGAGTTGAAGGTCGCCCTTTTACTCCCTTCTTCTTATCTGCAAAATGTTATCCCCTAAATCAATTCAAAATTCATAACAAATTGAAATGAAATTCCCATAAGAAAACAAAAGTGAAAACTTCACCATGGAGATGGCGTTCCAAGCTTCCACCAGAGACAAATTTATACACCAAAAACAAGCCTTCTTCAGGATCAATGCAAAACCCTAAAAGAGGGACAATATTAGGGTGATGCAAAGAGCTAGCAATCATCAGTTCTCTGCAAAAGGCCTTAGCAGATTCCTTATCTTCTTTATCCAACCTCTTAATAGCCACAGTTGTCTTCAACAGTCCAACTCTGCCTCTGAAAACAAAGCTCAATGCTCCTCTTCCCAAAACTCTGTCTGCACCATTTTCCAATAACAAAACAATCAAAACCCCAAACCAGAAATAGGAATTAAAAAACAATTGAACAAAAAGAAACCAAATCAATGAAGTTCATACCTTTGGAAAAATTTCTAGTAGCTGAAACAATTTCACCATAGTTGAATCTAACCAGAGACTTTGTCACAGGTGAAATGCTTCTTTCCAATGACTCAATCCTTCTCCATTTCAATTCTTTAGCTCTATCATCACTAACCCCATTATCCAAATTCACCATCAAAACAGTAGCTGAGCTCAAAGAATTGGCAGCCATGGCTTCTAGTTCAACTTGAGAACAAAAACTAAACCTGAAAGATGAGTGAACTGATTGTGGATCGGTACTAGTCAACTCAGCTCCTCCACCCGACTCAGCCAGCAACCAAGCCTTGTTATGCTCCAAATTGCTTCCTTTCTTTTCACCATTGTTTTTCTGCCTCTGACAACCAGGAAGAAAACACCCAAGACCAAAATCCCAAATCATTCTTGTTAAAAAAGTTTTGATTTTTACCTCATTGCAATCGATATGGTGATCTGCAGATGAAGTAGAGGCAGCAGCATAGAGAGTAATCAAGCCATTTTTTGCAGTCCTGGAGTTCGTGCAAGTTTCTTCATAAAAACCCATTGCTTTGAAACAGATCTCAATGTCCCCAGAGACTCCAAAAACAAGAAAGGTTGAGTCTTTCAGAATAAAAAAAAAAAAAGAGGTGAAAGCTTCTTTGCTTGAAGAGTGGGGGAGAATTTTCTCGGAAAAAAAAAAGAAGGGAGAGAGAAAAAGAGAGGTGGGTAACTAATATAAAGGGTATGGGGCAACCGGGCAATGCAATGCAAAGCAAATATAATATTATGCTCAGGGAATCAAAGATCAAAACTTGTCCGGGCAAAAATACTATAAACTCTGAGACTAAATTCGTGGGAGAAGGTGAACAATAAAAACCTCACACAAATAATAAATTTTTATTCTTCTTTCTCTTATTCAAAATAAAATTCAATCCAACATCTCTTTTATTATTTTCTTTGTTACTAAAATCTATATATTCATAATCAACGGTTAAATTCGTAAGAGTTTCAATTATTAATTACAGATTTTGAATCCCTTTCAAAATATATATTCCCGTTGCATCTTATATTTTATTCAAATAGAATCAAATTGTATACTTGTGGTTAATGAATTATTAGAATATTGCTCTTACAAAATATATTTTTAAGATAGTGTTAGTGAGTTTATGGTTCTCATCATATGCATAAATAAAGTAGAGATTCTTGTTGTAAAAACTAGTGAACAAAATGGGGGCACAAGCTAATATGCTTTTGGAAACTGACAATATAGAACAAAGTAAGAAGAGGCGACGCCAACTAAGAAAAAAAAGTCGAAAGCTTGTGAGATAATGATGATGTTTATGGTCTACCCTTTTTATGATTTAATTGGAATATGGATTAAGAAATGATTAGTGGAGTAATGAGATAAAAAAAAGTTAATTCTTACTGATTTTGGAAAAGGGGTGGATTAATTTTTGGGTTATTGTGTAATTTTAAGACAAATGAGGAATTGATTATGAACTCAAACCATGTTTTACCAAAATTTAATGTAGTTTGGTGGCCATCCAAGACCATCTAATTTTCTCCCCCCCCCCCCACAAAAAACAACCCCCTTCCCTTATTTTATTGACAACCTCATAACCTTTCATACATATATAATTTAAATACATTTCACACATTAAATTAATAGGTGTATTGTATTGTACCACGTTCACCTTTTTGTACTTTAAAACACCCCTTGAAAATAATAAATGAATTAGGGGTTAGCTCAATCAGTGAATGCAATAAATTATCTCAAGTTTTGGATCTAAATCTTTTCTCCTATGTTAGGTTGCAATCCCTTTTGCAAAAGGAAACAAAAATGAAGTTGAGTCTTTTCATGATTTCTTAAGGAAAACAAATAATTTGGCATACACAAGCCAGTGGGACATTAATTTAATGGAAAGATGAAGGCATTTTAATTAATATCAGGTCTTATGTTCCCACCATTACTATATATAAGTTTAGTTTTACTTTATATTGAATTTCCTCTAACTATATACAGTGATCTCTTTTGTGTGTTTAATAAGTGATTGATAATGTAACACTCTTATCCAATTCGAAAATCATGTGAGGACATACGACGTCATATTCAAAAGTCGGAGCAAAAAGAAGATTAAATCGAATTATTTACAACTTTTATGGTACATTTAAAACATATAAGGACATTATTGTAAATAGCATAAAAATAACATGTAATCAATTAATTAAACCTTTAAGATTCAAAGCAGCCAATTTGTTGTCATGCATAAACTTTTTGCAAAATGGTATAAGTTTTGGGGTAAAACTATACATTTAAAAAATTCTTTTAAGCATCAATATGTTTTGAAGTATTAGTGCCATTTTTAGCTTTGATGTTCCAAAATTTGTTTTAAATATAAATACTTTTAATACGCATTTAATAGAGGGAGCGTTTTTTTTAATGATCTAAGAATCTTTTAAATATAAATTTCGATTCTTAAAAGGATCTTCTCTTATTTCGAACAATAAACGAATCATGCAAGTAAGAATGGAGTCTATCCTATTTAATGCCCTAACTAAAGGAAATTGCCTAATTATTTTCTAAACTAATGAAATATATATGTACGAATGTGCAGATAATGATACGAGAAAATAAATGAAAATGCATGAATTGTTTAAAAAGAAAGTTGTATTTCAGAATATTATAAAAGATTATAGTTTATAAATTTTTAAAAGATTATTTTTTTTCCCTAACTTATCTGAAACAGAACTAGTTAATATCGCATATACAAGGTACTTATGTGACCCTCATAAATTGATATGTTTTCACACATAACGTCTCTAATTTCTCGGTGATAATGAAACAAATGATCTATCACAATATCAGTTTCTCTAGAGATTTCAAGTTCGAGAACGACATCAATATGAGTGTTTAATTGTCCGTTGTCAAATGGTTAAGAATCTTTAGAAGATATATCATTTTATAACCACTCGAAACTAATCTATTTTTTTAAAGATTTATTTTCATAAAAAATCCAAAAAAAATCCATAGTATTATATATATAGGTTAGGATCAATTTGCACCGCTTGTAAAATTAAAAGTTCTACATTTTTTATGACCGATGAATTAAGAAAAATTAAAGGTTGAGATTAACTCATTATTTTTTTCCTAGTAGATATATTCTCTTTTGCTAATATTAATCTTAATCTTTAATTTTTTTTCATTCAACAATTATAAAAGAGCGTAATTTTTATTAAACATATATATATATATATATAAAAGACCGGATATATTTAGCTAAGCAAAGGATAGGATGGGTCATGGGAGTAGAACTAACTTAAGTCGCTTCACGTGAATTATTGATCACCCCGTACATGAATTAATACGTTGGACAACAGCAGTAAATTTATTTATAAAAAGTAAAAGGAATAAACGAGTAATGAAGAAAATAAACATATTAAAGTATAGGGTAAATTATAGCACTAATAACCAACTTATTCTATTTTATTCTAATTATTAAATTATCTTTTATAAAACTTTACTAAATTAGCTTTTTTTTTATTATTTTAGTCATCGATAGCTAAAAACATAACAATAATATCAACATTCCATTTTTTTACTTTTTTGAATTTCCTTATCATTTTTATATTATATCTTAAATAAATATTATAAATTTAATATTTGATTTAATATTAATTTTATAAAAAATATCATTTAATTATTTTATTTTGAAATAAAGTGGGAAAATAATTTTAGTTTTATCTTTAGTCTCAATAAAAAAACTAAATTAAGTATTAGTTTGGTTATAAACATATTAATTAAATAAATTAATTTAGTGGTTAAATATTAGATTTTCTATAGGTAGCGTAATCTTTTTAATTGTAATTATTTTATTATTATTTTGAGATTATTATAATATGATATATATTCATAAATTTTTTAATTAATTAAAAATTAACATATTAAAAACGCAATTTTTTGAAAATAAAAAGGAATCTATAAGGTAGATGACCATATATGCATATCGACGTCACAGGCTTTGCAAAATGTAATTGCAACCACAATTTAATTCCGACGTCGACGGGACTTGATTTGATTACCTTACTTGTAGGATTTTTTATGGATGGGTTAAGCCACCTGGGGCTGGGACCATAAAATATTTACTTTTAAAACTTTTAATTTTGATTGGCTAAGTACATTGTCCAATTTAGTCTTTACACGTGTCCCAGACAGCTGGATTTCCTAGCAGCTTTAGAAGATGATTTGGAGCTCTTATTTTTTTTTTCTTGTTAACTTATTATGCGAAAATTACTATCTTAGCCCCACCAGTATAACATTTATGTCAAATATTAATAGTAATAACTATAAAAATCATCCAAATAGTTTTTGTTTATTGATATGGGTGAAGATGACAAGAAACTGATTTGTATTCAGTTAGGCAGTGACCAAACTCGGCTAAAGGTGAATAATAAAATAATATTAAGATTTTAAATTCATCGTGTAATTTTAATAATAAAAATAATATTATTCTCTCTAAAAAAATTAAAATTTAAACAAATGTTTTTTAATAATTAAAATTCTTTTAATAAATATTATATTATAATCATCTCATGTTATTAAAAAAATAATATCAAAATTGTATATTTAAATTTAGAATTATTTAGTAAATATATATGATAATACAAGGACGAATAAACCTCTTAAATGGAACTAATTAGGTAGTAGTTTCTTAAAGGAATCGAATGGTAATTAGAAATTGCAATTTGTCACCTGTTTCATTTATACAAAAAGAATCTTGTTTCAACTTTAGAATAACATATCATTACAGTTGTTAAGGATGTCACTGTCGCATCATCCTTTATCTAGTTAAATTTGGATATTCCAGGCTAGCTGGTTGAAGTTTTCTCGACCAAAATATTATAAAGTAAATTATATATATGATCATTCAATTATCATTTTAATTTTATTTTAATTATTAATTTTTTTTTAAACAACAACAACAACAACAACAAAACCCAATTCCCATATGCAATGGGGTAAGGGGGAGGTAGGGTAGTAGGCTGCCCCCAACGCCAGGTTGAGAGTAGCTTCCGTGGAAGACCTCCGGCAGTCAGAAAATTAAAAATATAGATAAGATGCAATGCATGTATAAATAAATACATAAATACGTAGTTGTACAGTATTCATCTGCAGTCATTAATATCATTAATGTCATATGTGTGTCTGTAATGGGCAGTAATCTTTGTATATGGACAGAAACGTAAGACCCGACTAAATTCAAAAGTTCAAAAGTGGAGAGAATGATACACAGAATTCAAACGATCGCAATGCCAGTTCTAAGCCTTCAAAAATACCAATAACAGAAACGGATAAAAAGTAGAAGTTATGTAAATTACTACAAAGGCAGTAAAAGAAGACAGAGATGATACACCCTAGAGATGTGACCCACACTACTCGACTATCCTAGTCTTAAGTCTCCATACTTTCCTATCAGAGGTCATGTCCTCGGTAAGGGCTAAATCCATCAAATCAGATCTCAAGCAGTCTTCCCACTTCCGCCTTGGTCGTCCTCTCCTTCTGGCACCGTCGACTGTAATCGACTCTACCCTCCTGACCACATCAGATGGTAGTCGCCTAAGGACATGCCCAAACCACCGTAGTCTTCCTTCCCTCAATTTCTCGGAAACAGGCACCACCCCCAAGGACATCCTAATAGCAGAGTTTGTTGTCATATCCCACAGAGTCCTACCGCATGTCCACCGAAGCATTCTCATTTCTGCGGCCTCTATCCTCCTTACATGATCCTCCTTAATTTTTAAACATCGTCATTAATGTTATATTTTAAT